TTTCTCTTTCTCAGTATAAACATAAACTGCACTTGGAAATAAGTTTTAAGACATGATATGCTAATTAGAATGTACCTTTGAAAGGCCATACTAATTGATTTACTATTTCTGTCCAAAATATATGATTTTTTTGACTTGCTACAATCAAGTGAGACTGGTGGTTCTGAGTCTTAGAATTAAGAACTCATGGGCCGGGGATGTAGCTTAGTGGCACCATGCCTGCCTGGCAAGTACAAGGTCCTGAGTTCTATCCCTGGTACAAAAAACAAAACAAAAAAACCTCCCAAAGAATCAAGGACTCATTTTTAAACAAGTGAGTTGAATAAGACTGTCAGCATCAATTCATACAGAACCATCCCTGGAGAAGCCTGCTCTGATTAGGCTTCCATCACAAGGGCATGGCACAGAAATATGAGTCTGTTTTAAAACTATATATAATCTTTTCTGCTTGTTAATGTATTAGTCTTTAAATGTCTTTAATTGCTTCCTTTGTCTTTCCTGTCTTTACCATGGTATTAAAATAGGTTATGATCATTGCAAATTTCTTAGTGGCACTGGAGTACTTGGCTACTGAGCAGGGATTTTGAAAAGTTGCTGTTGAAAATAGAAAGCTTTTCAGTTTCAGGAATACTTAAATAGAAATATTATTTTATTTTTATTAATTTTTTTGTATTTTTATTAGTACACGTTTGCAGTATGTAATGATTACACTCATTATGGAGAGTTGGTATGTCAATTAAATGTCAATAACATTTAATTCTTTTTACTTTCTGTTCTCCTCTGCTTCCTCAGCCATTACTCTATTGCCTGGTCTTCTGCCCAGAAGTAGATTTCTAAAGCTGTTTAATCAGTGATTAGTTGACCATTTGGTGAGTATAAGACATGAAGAGATAGTAACCAGGGGTAGATTCAGAAGAACAGTGTGTTAGTTGGTTTTCCATCACTGTGACAAAATACCTGAGATAATCAACTTAAGAAGGAGAAATATTTATATTGGCTCATGGTTTCAGAGGTTTCAGCCTTTGGTGGCTTGGCTCTGTTGTTTTGGTCCTGTAGTGGCAAAGCGTATCATGGCAGGAGCACATGGTAGAAGAGGTCTATCTCGTGGTGGGCCAGGAAGGAAAGAGAGGGAGACCAAAGTCCCAGTGTCCCCTTCAATCACATGATCTCAGTGGCCTCCATGTCCTAGAGGCTAATCTTTGAAAACATGATCTTTTGGGTGACAAGTCAGATCTAAATTACAATTCTTGGAGAAAGTAGGCAAATGTTGAAAGGAAGCATTACAGGAAATAAATGACTTACAACTGGTTATTCCTGGGCAGCGTAGGTTACTCTGTTCTGGTATGTTATATAGTATAGCAGAGGCTCTCAAATACACTCAGTTCTATGATTAGCCTAAGTAACTTAACATTTTTGATGATTTCTGATACAAAGCCAACAAAGTACAAGAAACCAAAGTTCGTATGCATTTGGGTAAAAACCTTAATTTATCCCAACCTCTCTTCTCGTGGACTTTCCCATCATTTACATACCAATCTAGTTTCTAGTTTGTGTACTGATCTGCCTCATTTCTTCCAGAGACTCAAGCCTGGCTGACATTCTCAAGTCATCTGTTTTCTTCCTCTTGCTAGAGCTATAGTAGATTCTCTTAAAAGTGTCATAATAACATTTCAACTTGTTTTTGGAGCCAGCTCCACACACCCCCAAGCTAGATTAATATTTCTATTTTCCAATTCTAGACATAATGCTCTTCCCCTAAAATGTTTTACTTTTTGTTGCTTTGTAGAATAAGTATAAACTCTCCAAATTTATGTTATTCTCTACAGTGAAAAATAATGCTTACCAGGGTTTCCCTTATTATGTCCCTATACTAATGTGTATAGCATATATTTGTTTAAACTTCTGTTTAAAAATGAGAGGTTTTTATGTTTAGTTCAATGTGGATTATTTACTGATACTTTTGTAATGCTGTATGTATTAACATCTCAGTTTTTTTTTTTCTTGTGGCTCAAGACATAGGATATACCTACATCATGAAATGTTTCTGGATTAATCAGCAGATGTGCTGTCTCTCTATTTTCTTCTATCAGTATTCTATTGCACTTTCAAAACTCCATCACAAAGTCATTGCAGCCGTGTTATTCTGGAAAAGCTTCCTTGGTCTCACATCCATGCGTCTCCTAGGTGTCCTTTGATTCACTTTGGTACTTTATGTAGGATCACCTATTACGCTGACCTTTTCTATCAGTTAAGTATAGTGATTTGCATATTTGTGTGTCCTCTCTCACAACTTCAGAACAAACTCTTGGGAAACAGGTTTTTTTTCTCTCTCTCTCTCTTTTAGTCCTTGTATTGACCATGGCATGTGCTTTACTAATTAGTTAGTGAATTTCTAGAGCTGGTTTGAGTGTGTTTTGACACCACTGCTGTCATTCTTGCTGTAGCAGGACTATCTATTCCAATGTAATTTTACATGAAAAAAGAAAAAATTACAGTCACTCTGGTTGGAAAAGTGGTGATTGTTATATTCTCAGATATCCTCTTGTCTGCTACCCCTTGCTGCCCCTACAGAACACTTATGGCTCTGTTCAATCTTGTCTGAAAACTAAAGCATTCAGTTTATATGTCACAGTTAAGGAGAGGACTTTTACTATCACCCCCCCCCCCGCCTTAGTGGTTTACCAGAAGTCTTAAATTTGTGTTTGGAATAAATACTTTATAAGAGTAGAATACATGGAGTTGCAGGTGAGCTAATGGTGAACCTACATTTCATTCAATTGCATTGTCATTTGTTGCCAAATTTTAGCCCTCATAAATACTATCCTCTCTGTTGGAAATATCTAGAAATTGGCAGAGTGGAGGTTAAGTGGGAAACATAATAGCATTAGATATTTCAACAATAAATAACCTAGAAATGAAGTATATATAGGGTTACTCATATGTCTGCCTTTTAAAAGAAAAGAGTTGCATTATGAGAGAGAGCTGACATTTTACAGGTATTCGAGAGCAAGAAGAGGGGTAGATAACTTGTTTTGGGGCAGAGAATTCTGTTGTGTCCTGAAAGGTTTAGATCAAGAGATTGGTTTTGCTGGGAAAATTTCCTATAGGTATGGGGAAGGATTTATTTTTTCTTTTAGTTTTTGAAAAAGAGTTTTTAAAAATTGCCTTGAGTTCTGATGTGCAGAGATGCCAAGTCCTCCTTATCTCTAGAGCTATAGAAACTCAGCTGGTAAGGGCAAAGAATATTCCTAATAGAAATGAAAATCTCAGGAAGGATAGAGAGAATAAAAAGGAATGAAAGGAAAACAAGGGGAGATATTTGGTTTTATGGAATAAGAATTAAGGTAGATTTACATTTTCCCCCAGTGCAGCATTCTAACAACATCTTATGCTTCACAACCCTTCTTTCAATCATTTTCTTTCTTTGTATCCTTTTTTCTCCCTCTCTCTCTCCCTCCTTCCTTCCCTCCCTCCCTTCTCTCACCGTATATCTCTATTTCCCTGTATTCTATTCCCCTCTTTTTATTTTATGTCAATCAGGATACTTAATGGGATGTGTCCCATTGTCTATTGTCTAGAAATCCTGGGAAAACACTAACAACTGATGAAAAATCTGTGGCAAAGCCCCTGGCTTCTAAGGAGGACTGGTGGTGGATGAGCCCTCATTTTAGGTCTTTTGGAAGCAAGCTGAGCTATGCTTATCCAGTAACCTATGTCTAGGCTCAATAAGTAGACAATTAGGCATTTTGGGGGTGGGGTTATAACTCAGTCACTTAGTGGAAATTTTTTTGAGGCTAATGCTCTAAGTAGTTGTTGGTAGACATAATTATTCATTGTGTTTGAAAGAAGGGAAGATGGAATCTCATTCCTCAAGTGAATACCTGCTAATGAATTCAACTTTCTGATTCATTCTATGTCTGTGAGCAGCAGGAGTAGAACTGGTAAAGGGACAAGAATGGGATAGTGGTGGGCAGTATCAGTGACTGTTCCGAGAGGTTATGACATGTGAGTTTCCTGTGGGTCCAATGGCAGATGGGTGACTTTGAACCATTTTTCTTCAGCAGGGTGCCTTCAGAGTAAAGGGCCCGGTGGACGAGCCTGGAAAAAATACTACAGGTGGCAAAGCTATGGAGTGATTGGTGCATCAAGGAAGAACATTTCTCTAATGAAGACACTCTACAGTGAGGTGTCCCAGAGAATCTCAAGCATGCTCTGCAAGAGAGACATCTGTCACTTACAGGGAGTTCATGATGAGTCCGTCAGCAATGGGAAGTGTATGATAACACTTCCTAAATTGGGCATTTTGGACTATTCTATTTATGCTACTCCTCTATCCCATCCCAACCTAGTTAGATGACTGGAGATTCAGAAGAAAGAGTGGGGAAAGGACATTCTAGAAACTGACCACATCCATTTTATCTGTTATGTACCTCAAGCCACCACAGATGGAGAGGAAAGTATGAAACAATTGAAAATGAGATGGTGTTGGAACTTGACTGACTGGACTTTTAAAACCCAGAGTGACTAGAATACATGGGATATTCCCAAGATGATGCTGAGGAGATGGGAATGCAGTGGAGCATAGTTAAAGACAGCTGTTAGAGAAATCTAAAGCCATTTCATGTTTGTGTGTTTAGACTGTTCAGTAAATCTCATGCTATTTAGGGGCATTGCAGTTGGAATAGAACTTGTATTGTCTGTCAAAACATTATGAAAGTTAGCTCACAGATTGTGGCTCACTTTCATAAAGAGTTCTGAGAATTCATTCTTCTTATAGCATGACTAGAATGATTAATAATAACTTAATGCTTTCTCACAACTTGACCCACATTAATTCACTGTGATTCTAAAGTTGTTCAAAGTTGTGATTCTAAAGTTGGCTTCTTTGCAAAGGTAGTAGTGTTATTTGTGACAAATTTTGATAGGAACTTCTCAATAGCAATGATAGATTTCCTTCTGGTTTTCTATTAAATGAAGAAAAGAAATTTTGACAAACTGACTTTTAGGATTTTGACAGTGCTATAGAGTGAGTTTTTATTTTATTTTTTAAGAAGAGCCACCTTACACCCTTATACCCAAACATGCACTAAAAGCCATTAAACTAAAAGAAGCTTTCCAAGGGCTGGATTCTTAAGAACCATCTCAGAAATAGATGTGATGGATTTAAACTTAGCAGCTGCCATCATAGGCGATTTGGCATTTCAGGAACTTGAGATAATTGTCAACCTTATGTGTATCCCTGCGCAGGCAGCGGAACAAGTTATGATAAGCAAACAGGAGCGATTGTAAATCATTTGATTGCAGGGATGGAAGTCCCAGCCAGACAGCATAGTTCCCATTGTCTATAATTTCAGGATCAACCTAGTCAACAAAAAGACAGTCATTATTATTATTATTTACATTACTGATTTTTGTGTTATTCATATTTGTTTATCCTAGTTCTTTTCAAATGTTCAACAAAGATTTGGGAGAGAGATGGAAATGTAAAACTTTAGCCAAAGGCATGAATTTTCATGTATCTTTGCCAGGATATCATAAATCCATCAGTCATCTAAAAGCTAGAAGCGGGACACATGTATAATTTTTCTGATATGCAAGTGAAGTATCCTTCTGCAGGAGTAGACAGGTGGAGAACCTGAAAGTTGCTGCTTGAATATAGACATGGGTTTGAATGAGCAGCAATGGGGAGGGTTGCTTCTGTTTTCTCATTAGAAGATTTTACATTTCCTAAAACTTGTCCTGGATGTCCCCCGTGTATTTTATTTCTTCTGATAGTTTGACATTTGTCTCTTTATTGCTTTGAACTGAATCTATTCTCCATATAATGTCTGTACCAAAAGATTACAAGGATTGCAATTGATGATTTAAGATGCATAGAGTCCAATCAGGACTGACTAAGAAGGTCAGGAGTCTCTCATTCCACCCAGGAAAAGTACCTTCCAGTTTTCCATGAGGAGCAGCTGCTTTCTTTTGAGTTCCCAGGGATGGGAGTTGCTGGGGAAGCACCTATGAGAAGAAGGCTCTGGCAGCAGCCCTCCATGGTGAGGGTCAGGGGGTAGGGTTGGGGTGAGATTGTGATTCAGAAAATGGTGCCCAATTAGAAAGAGGGAGGAGTGGGTCCCTTGTGCACTCTGTGGGCTCCTGCAAGCTGGATGTCCCCGTAACCATCACAGAGCCTCTAATTATATCAGCTGATTTCAAAAGCCATTAGGCACAAATCTGTGATAATTGTAGATCTTGATCTGCTGAACTTTCTCCTACAGAGTAAGAATACTTTTAAAATCTGGGATTCCCTATTGGAATTTGAAGTGTGTGTGTGTGTGTGTATGTGTGTGTGTGTGTGTATGTGTGTGTGTTTGTTACCTTGCTTTCTAATTTTTTTTTTTTTTACTTTTGGTTCATGAGCCCTGAGACAAAATTTACTGTGCAGGTTACCATGATATGAACAGAAATAAATAAGTGGTAGAGAAAGAGAACAGAAAATGAAGCATTATAGGACAGATTAGTGACCTTCGGAAGTCAGCTCATGGTAATGCAAAAAATAACTTGAAAATTAAGGTGTTTATTTCTTATGTTCCTAGGTTAATATGTTCTTTGTGTTGGAGATAGTCTTCTACCATGAAAATGACAAAAATGACACATGATAGCATATACTTAGGACACAAAAAGAGAAATATAAAATTGCTTCTGTTATTATTTCTGTAATCATATATTTTTCTTTAGATAATCCATTATTTCTGAGGACTTCAGAAAGCTGCTCAGCCATTATCCCCCTAATCTTGAAATTGTTCTATCTAAATGGAGATACATATTGAAAATATTAATTCAACTTAGGTAAAACAAACTATTTAGGGAGATTAAATGCAATTATGTGAGTTTTGATTTAGGACCTCCGAGCAAAAGAAAATTTAGGATACCTTTCTATAAATTATAAAATAAGGAACATTGCAGAAAAGATAGATCTCTCCTTTTGTGACCCTCTAAGGGCTAGTGCTATGGAACAGTACTGACACTATGGCCACCTCAGTATCCTCTGGGTAGGGGTGGGGTGGGATGGGACACCATCCTTCTGATTTTGATTTTCTCCTTTCTCTCTTCCCACTCTAATCCTCGGTGTGGCATGAGGAGAAAAAGAAAAGAATCTGACCAGGATTTCTATGCAAGTGTCCCAAGACACCTCTCGCAGGGTCTGTTGTACTATTGTCTTTCCCTGGGAAATGTGTGACCATTCATCCCCAAGAAGGGACAAGTTTTCGGTGGCTTTTGGACAGTGCAGAGAAGGCAGCACCTGTCAGCACAGTCACAGAGGCACTGACAGAATCTCTGGCGTGGCTGGCTATGGCTCTTGCTTTGTTTAATGGCAGTCTAGAAGTTAGAACAATTAGCCTAAATGTCGTTCCTGCAAAGTGAGGGCTTTTGAAACGTTTCCCACCGCAGATGTGCCTCTTTAATGAGAAAACCAAGGAAGCCCCAGGAGGCTGCTCACCAGCTTGCCTATCTTCTTCAGGCCTTCTAGAAGTCGTTGGTTTTGTTCCTGAATCTCCGTGGCTTTTGCTATGAGAGCATCAGGGGCTTTTGGCAGGCGACGTGCTTCTGTGATGAGGTGGCTCAGAGGTTTAGTCCAGGAGCCCAGCAAATGGATAACCAGAATGACAAAGTCTTTTTGCTAAGCAGTCAGAGTGCAGCAATGACATTAAAATAAGTTAGATACAGCTGGGTCAGTACATATGACTCTACTCAGGGGCTGAAATCAAATATTTCTTTGTTATTCCTGTGTATATGTAAAATTCTTCAGTAGATGAGAAACATTGTAGGAATGATGAAATTTAAGCTACTGACCTATACTTTGCTATAGTAAAACAAACTCACAAAACTGATTGAAATAACCACTTTTTCTTTTTTCTTTTTTGGTACCGGGGATCGAACTCGGGTCTTTGCTCTTGCGTAGCAGGCAGCAAAACCACTGAGCTAAATCCCTGGGAGACTGTTTATGGCCCGGAATCAGAAGAGAGAGATTATAACAATAAAAATTGGAGCTTGGAAAAATGGTTAGAGTTTGATATGTAGACTTTGTGGTCACCAGAGCAGAGGCCAGAGTTGCATCTGTGAGAGTCATGACATAATATGGTACAGGACATGCACGGGGGATGATTTTCAGTTAAGACATAGAAGGCAGAGTGAAGAGTGAAGAAATTAGCATTAGAAGAGCAGAAACAGAGCCAAGAGAGTCTTGAAGACTAGGAGAGATGGCTCAGATGAGGCAGGGGTCAGCAATGTAAAAGGCTGCCAGTGCAGGATCCGCTAAGAACCTATAATAAATAAAATTACATTTGCAATTCTCACTCATATGCATGAATATCTCTTTACCCATGGATGTCCAGTTCAGTTCTAACTTCCCTACAGTACAATATATACAATCCAAGTACAAGGTATTGGTTAAATAATGTCTGTGTGGGCAGTTTATGGATCTGGTACAACCTTTATTTAGCATTTTGATTTTATGTACAGTTTATCAACTACATAATGTAGTTTTCTCTGGTTGCTTACTCTCTCTCCATTTTTTTCTGGGGTATGATCACTGTTACTACTGATCACAGTGTCTTTTATAACCTATGGCTTGGCAAAGCCAGTGCACTGCCTCAGTTGTTCTGGTGGAGCTTGGGCTAGGGACTCACTTGGATTTGCTGGGCCTGCTCCTTGCCAGCTGGAGTGGAGATGGATGCAGTGTGGCACATGCTGATGGCCTGGGTAAAGAACCCTGGGCCCTGGGAATACTGCGCATCCTGGAAATGATGAAGAAAGTTCAATTAATTCAATTAGCTGTGGTTTGGGAATTGAAAATAATGAATCCATTACTAGAACAGTAATCCATTTGATGGATGTGTAATTTTAAAGAAATGAATGCTACATAAAAATTGCAGCTAAAGAATTAATAAGGTAACCCTTTTGCTCATCCTCCATTAGCTCTGTAATCTCATGTTTTCTGATTAATTTTCGACCCTCCCAAACTCTTTCCTTCTTTGCTCTACTTTTGCTTTCTCATCTTTCTTATGAGTTACTATTTGGAAAGCAAACACTAAAAATAACAAAGATACAAAACTTTAAGTGTGTTAAGTATCATTTTTGCTCTAGCATTCACGTCAGATCCCCTAGTGCATATGTATCTGTATTTACCTGTTTAATGTTTCTTGTGAGTCCAAACTGATATTCTTTCCTTAAGTAGATATGAATGATAACTTTCCTTTCACTTACCTCTTACTATACGCAGCTGTATCTTACCAATTTCATCAAAAATTTAAAATGCACATTTTTTATTATGGCAAAATAAGTCAGGACAACAGGAAATAAACATTTTAGGAACTACTAAGTAATGGGTTGAGATTAAAAACAAAAACAATACAAAAATTGTGACATTTAAAAGGTATTCCTGGGAAGATTTGGAAGAGAAAAGATAGTAAGCTAAAAATGGGGAAGGAAACACTATCTAGTGAGTAAAAGAACTGAATGAATACATATTTATTAGTATTTATTATTGGGGCACATTCTCTATGGAGATCCTTTATCGTACTAGGCCCTAATCTGTTGCCTACTCCTTCACTGGCCTAGAAGAGATAATTTTCAAAGTATCTTCATGGAAAAGAGAACCTGTTTCCTCTTCTATCCTAGCCTTCGTATTGTAATTATAAACTCCTACACTGGAAATCTTAGAAAAACGATTGGTAGCATTGTGAGACTTTTGAGAATTTTAATTTTCTCCCTCTGATATGAATTCAGTTTAGTTTAATTTTATTCAATCCACCCAATTCACTGCAATGCTGTTCTCATTTCTTGGCTATCTGCAGTGTGCTCAGTGAAGATGTACCCACGAATGGGACCCTGCACACAAGAACAAGAAATCAGTGCTCTTTTCCTGCTCTGCCTAAAAATGATTCCGGTCAAGTGTTTACATTTTTAAAAATAAAGCAAATTAAGAAAAATTTAAAAAATCATTACATTCTTTCACACACTGAGATTTCACAAAACTTTCCTTTTTTGCTCATTCCACTTTTTATTGGCTGATGTCACCTTTAACCTATTAAGATACAGTATTGGAAATTTGGTTGATAAGATTTTCATGGTTAAAATGTAGTGTAGCCTAATCTTTGGTATGAAGGCCCCTTTTGGGAAGAGGTAAAAAGCGAGGCACTTACAAATTCCTGGAAAATTTCGGAAGAGAGGCTATGGATGTAATGAGACAGGATGATGGCCCGATCAAATAGCTCTCGGAGGGACACCTGGCAGCCAGACCTGTTGGGACAGATGGGCTCGGAAGCCACGTTCTTGCACAGGAGGAGGTTTGACATAAGTAGCAGCAGTAAGAGTGACCCAGCTGAAACAAAAAACATGAGCCACTCTGAGATATTCTATTCAGAGAAGTTATCACAAGCAAACCCGCTTGGAGACAACTTTTCTCTCACCACTGCCCTCTGCCTATGATTTGCTGCTGTAATATCTGGGGAAAGGAAGAATCAGCACCTTCCACTGCATGCATTTAGATTTGCACAGATAGTTTGAGAAGTGGGTGACTTCTTGCATTTTTGTATTGCTTCCAGGAAGTGCTTCTGTCCTTTGCCAACATTTGGAGTTTAAATTAATTCTGACCTGAGGTGTTTATGTCATTTTCTTAAAATAGTTTAATGTCTTGGGAATTTCTGTAGATTTTGGAGTCAGACTCTCCAGGAGTTGGTAATTTTTTAACTCCGTGTCTGGTATCTGCAATTTGGACACTGATATGACAAGAACACCACAGTTCATCTGTTTCTTTTATCATCATGCTTGGTAAGAATAAACACTGGTTGCTAATGCGAGTATAACAAGAATCCTAACATAAAAATGATGCCCTGGCCTGGATCTGCTAATTCCCCATGGTAATCCTGTGCATTTGCTTGACACTTTGTCAAAACTTCTAGTTTTGTTTTTTTTTTTTTCTAAATTTGAGCTTTATGATAACCCCGGGAGAGAGCCTGGGGCTTCCTAATTATCATCAAATTATATTGAAACACAGGCTTAGCAAGGCTAAGTGATTTTCCCGAGTCCTGATACTAGCAGGTGGGGGAGACTGCATGCACACCAATGCTGTGGGCTGTGCACTTCACCGCCTCACATCCCACACACCTATGGGTTCTCAGATTGCCTCTGCGCCGCCCGGACCGCATCAGTGGTCCTGGGCCATGGTGTTTGCAGTGGTTACTATGGTTACCTGTGAAAACAACATTTTCCTTTGATTTATCCTCTTTCCCTGCTCTATAAAACTCCCACTTTAAAATTCTTTGATGACAATCAGAGGTGGTTTCATCAATTTGCCATGTCAGTAGATGGAAAGACGCAGGCCTGTAGCATTGATTTACACTTGCAAAAGGAAAGAAATAACATGGAGCTACCAAATTTAAATCACCTTTTACCTTCAACATTACTCCAGAAGAATTTCTGATATGAAAATGTGATATTCAGAAGACTAAGTTCCACAGAACCTTTGATAAATGCAATTGGAGATCTCCAACACAAAGCTAAGCAAATACTAAAGATTCATATATGAATGAAACCTAAACAGAAATACCTAAAATTACTAAACATGCCTTCAAATTTCTTACTACAGAATGTAACTAAATCTTTTAGCTGCAAAATTAAAAATAATATGAGATGATTCATATTATAGGCTTTTATTTTTCCAAAAAACATAATGATTCAAAAAATTTACTTTATGCATGTCATTGTAACATAATGTAGTCAGAGGGATATTTTATGTACAAGTGTAAATAAAATGTGCTTTGGAAATACAGAAATTGGGACAACAGCCTTAGGAAAATTCATAACTGGGTAGATGTTCTTTAACACTGAAGACATTTATCTGTACATTTGTCATCTGAGGGATTTTTCACAGCCTAAGATAAAATAGTCAAAATTTTTTGTTCTTTATTTTCATAAACAAATTTTATAGTTGTTACTAATTTATTTTTCTTGCAAATATCACCAAGGAAGTAAAGATGATTACTTAGTACTAGCCTGTTTTTCCTTTTGAAAAGCCGTTTAGCTTGAACTAAAGATTCACACATTCACTATCATTGTCTGCATTATGGCTTCAGAATTGAAAGTTTCCTCAGGTTGATTCAAATTGGCCAGTTCACATAAGAGACCTGAAAACCAGAAAATGTTTATTTCTGCCTTCTGGAGTTGTTCCAAATTGGACTAATTGACTCTTGAGGTCTTATTCTAGTCCAGAGTTTCTCAATCTCAGCATTATTGGCTTTTTGAGCTTGATGGTTTCTCGTTCTGTTCTGTGCCCTGGAGAATGCTCACAGCAACCTGTCTTCTGCCCATTAGACACCCGTAGCACCCTCTCTCACCTTGATTAAGACAATGCAGAAAGTCCCTGGCCATTACCAACTGTCAGGGAGAAGGCAGCATCCCCCATTTAAGAACCTCTGAACCACTGTATTGTACCCTGTGCAGTCGTTCTCTAGAGCAATAATTAGATAGTTCTAAACCCTACCAACTTGAAACCTCTTGTTATTGGCTACAATTTCACATTAATCCCCCACAGGAGTGTTGAAGCCAACAACTCGCTGACCTGTTGCACATACCTTGCCTCTTGCTGTCCATGGCGGTGAGCAGAACTGGAAACACCTTCACCGGAGAAGGCCTGGCGATCTCACGTCCAGGTTCAGATGTTGGCTTTATAAACCTTTGTCATTTTCATGAATATATTTAATCAGGTATTCTCTTCCCCATTCCCAGTCCTCTATTTCCGTCACTGAGATTACCCCCATGATTTCAAACATCAAATGGTATTTTATTTCTTATTCATATTCAGGAAGGCACACTGGCTAGAAATGAAGGATTTTGATTAATTAGACCAAAAGGAAATGAGAGAAATGATAAAGGTGAAATCTGGAGACCAGTTTGGGTTATGGGATCTGTAAAACTATAGAAGTCATTTACTTTAAAATTTACTTTTATTTCTAGGCAGTTTATTAAATATATAGCATTGTATTTCTCTTAGGAAATAATCTCATGTATTATCAATTATAAATTTCTCATTCAAGTTGCTAAGTGAATTAAAAGTTTCAAAATTTATGTACTACATACCAGAGGATATAGTATAAAGATTGAAAAAAGTAGGATTTTCAGTTTACTGTTATACTCTGAATTACCTTCCATTTTTTTTTTTGCTTTTACACATTTTCTTTTATCTTTAAAATGAGATCCCTGTATGGTACTTTGTTTTATAATATGTATTTTCATCTGTTTATTGCTTTTTATTTTAACATGTGTAAATTTATACTATTATATTATTATCCCTGGTTTATAGATTAAGAATAGGCTTGGAGAGGCTAAATACAAATGATTCTTTTATCTTCAGGCTAGATGAAGGAAGAATTATTGGAGTTGGTAAGCATGTGAAGAAGGGAGGAAAATTTATCATTTAACATATATTGCTGTGAATCCATGTCTAAGACATGCAAGACAGCATCATTGACCTTAGAGTTTATTTTGGGGATGCAACACAGAAGTTTGGGAGGCAAACTCTCCCCCTCCCCCTTATCCTCTGTGTGTGTCTCTCTCTCCTGGTAAAGGATGTAATAAGCCAACATTCTAGGCAATTATTTCCACTGTTTGGAAGGACAGAAGTAGATAAACTATGATTAACTTGTGATCAATCTGCCTTTTCTGACCCCAAGTCACTCTGGAAAAAGGTGACAAAATTCATCTTTCATAGACTCAAAAGTTCCATTCATCTCTTAGAGATTGCCTAAAAGAAATGATTATAATGAATAAAAATGAAATTGGGGATAACTTTCTCTAATTTTTAAGTCCATGCATCTAAAGCAGCTTGTGACCTTTAATTTCAATTTTACTGTCTCTGATATTAGATGGATGGATGAAGTAATTTCAAAACTAATCTCTTCCTATGGCATTTTCTTTTTCCATAGTTGTTAGTACCACATATATGCTTTAGCAATGATCTAACTTAACACTTTTATGGAGACCTGGAAATATTAAGCAAAACTAAAAATCTCTGACAAATGAGCTCTTAATTTAAGTAATGGTAGATTTTGAATCAAACACTAAGTGTGGTGATTTATTGGCTCTATTAATCTAAAACCTGGGTTAAGATTCTATACTCTTGTACTAGGTGTCTGTTTTTTTCCCTGGACAATGAAAAGTCCAAATTATCAAGAAAGGAGAGCCTAATGATATTTTACATTTCCTTCCTCTTACAGAAATGTAAGAATAAGGAAATCTGCCATAGAACTGACATTGACAACTTACTCTTAAAATATAAAGGTGCTACAACTTTTGTAGATAACCAGGATAAGAGTAATCTACGAAAACCTGAGTTGTGTTTATTCAGTGGAGGTCAATTGATTTATTGGACTGCAAAGAGGTAAAATTTATTGTGTGCTTCCTTGCAGCTTCACAGCCCCACATTTCCTGTGAGCAGGATATTGCAATATCTAAATAATGCAAAAAGCATATTTTATGAAAAAAAGTCATAGTTGTTCTATTTTTCTACTATATATGTTACTACTTTCATCTGAATACTTGTGTATGCTCTTTTGGAGGTCTTTTTCTTTATCAAAATGTAGCACCCTTACATTAGAACTATAAAGAAATTCACTATGAAGGGCTTTGTCTGCTTTTATTGTTTGTCATTTTTGGTCTGATGGTTTGTGATTAAATTGCGAGCTGATGACTGATTTCTGTCAAGTAGCTGAATAAATAATAGCTAAAATGATGTTAAAGTTCTCTTGTTATTTTTAGTATGTGAAACTAATAAGCATTTTTTCTGTCTTTACTGGAGGGCTCTAGTTTTTAACATTAAGTGACATTGCATTGATTTTCATTCTTAGGAATAGAATGTGTATTTTATTTATATTTTCTTTATTTAGTCATTTTTAAATTTGGAATAATTTTAATTTTTCTGTCATTCATGACTCAACACATATAGAAGAAGCATCACATAACTTGAGAAGCATGTACTGTAAGATGTAGTGGAGGTTGTTAAAGGGTGAAAGAAATGAGTATAAAAAATTTTTAAAAATTAAATGTATGCCAAGCATAGTTTAATCTATATAGCAGTGAATTGTCTTTAATAAAGTTAAACTTTCAGATGACTTAAGGTGTGTTGCTGTTTATGGATTTAAAAGTTTCAAATAATCATTTTCCATAACTTTCCATAACTTGGATACACTTGAAGTGAGGGGTCAAATAAAGTATGTAGCCATAATAGCCCTCAACTCACAGATCAGGGGACCAATGAGGGGATTCTGCCAAGAGTGACACATATCTCTCCCACTTATGCATTCTGAAACTGGAAAAAGGACAACAGGATGGATTCAGGGATGCTCTGAGTCCTCTGTGAGCCAGACTTTGCCTAAGACTCCACTGATCACCGATTTTACAGGCCCTTATTCTCCTTGGAGAGCCAATGATCATGTTTCAGATCTCCTGGAATCAGTTAGTTCAGAACCAGTATCCGGTAGTCCCTAAAATGTCTATTTCCTTTCCCCCAGTATACAGTTACCCTGGTCAAAGACTGTAGGTCCCCTTGGGGAAGAATGGGAGAAAAATTAACAGTGTAATTTTTTGGTAGTGCAAAAACCTCCTTGCTCAAGGGGACCTGGTCTTTCTTTCATTCAAGGGGTTCTAGGTCTATAAATTGGCTCGTCTGTTTCTATGATTTGAGGTAGAGTTTTGTTCATTTGCCACCCACTTTTTCTGCTTATGTAGATTCAGAAAATATTTAGTGTTTTCCTGTTTCGCTTCCGGAAACACCATAATTACCCAGGGACATAGGTCTACACGAATCAGATCATCCCAATCATTGCTTTGGCTCTGCCTCTATTACAGTAAGTTCACCCCCTGTCCTTTTACAGTTGAGTGCTGCTATTTGGCCCTGACTCTCTGGGATCCAATTGTACCTATTGCATTGAAGCTTCCCAGTGGAGTAACTGTGGTCCTCACAGTAAATTCTGGCAAACAGAAAAGAGCAATGACAGAGCTTTACAAGGATGTTGGTGCTTCCCTCACAAATCTATTTCTTAAGGTATTAGTGAGGGGTGGATTTTCTGGGCTCCCTCACCCCCCGTGTGGATGAGTAGGTTGTGTCTGCTCCAGCATTTCCATCCTTTAAGCTTTGAATTCCCCCAGTAAGCCACAGAACATCAGGAATCTCCAGCTCATTCACAGTGGGCCATTTTTTGATCCACGTTTCAGCCAACAAACCAAATAAACTATTGGCACCTATATTAATGCCTTAAACTGTGCCATTAAGCCCAGAATCTCTGCTTAAAGGACTTATATCAAAATATTTAGCCTGATTTAAATTTGTGTTCCTTTCATTATGACCCCCACACCCTTAAAATCCATTCCCAGATCTGCCCCTCTGGACTTCTGCTTGTAAGAACTAGGAAACTCCAGTTCTTTAGGAGTGTAGAATACCTTCTCACAGGGCATGCTGCGTACCCCACTTCTTGGAGCCCATTGAAGTTTGAGCCTGATTATAAACCTACATGCAAAAGTGAGTTGTAAGGATGGGTCCTAAGGAGCATTGTTTTGCTTGGTAACTGCATCAGAGAGGGACATTATCGTTTTCCTAGGCAATGCAGGATTAATTTCCCCAGTCAGAGGCAGTGAGGTCAACACCACAGGGTTTGAGCGGAAGGATCTCTCTGCCACTAAAGAGTGGGTGGATCTCTTCAAAATAAACTTATTAGAATTTAGGAGTTCAATGTCCTAAGCTTCACTGGGTTCCTCCCAAATATCTCTGCCTCAATTTACTGGATGCCATTCTTTTCTGTTCAGTGACCTCACTTTAACTGGAGATAGCTTTGAAGGCTCAGAGTTAAATTTGTGTTGTAATTCAGCTAATCACATGATGAATGCTTATGTTTGGTTTTTGACAACAGCAGCCCTGTGGTCACAGGAGATAAGATTTTCTTTAAGCACACACTTAGAAACCTTTAGGTTGTTTATACATGTCTAGAACTTAGAAATTGAATTTTTAAGCACATTCTTTTCCTTTATTACTTTCTCCAGAGGTGGTAAGAGGACCAACCAACATTATTATATTTCTCAGTCATCTAAAAATGTTCAAAAGTATTGTGTATAGTCGCCGGATTCCTTATATCTCCTATGTGGTTTATTAGGAGTATCGAGTGGATCTGCACTGCACATTTTTTAAAGCAGTTTACACCGAAGACTACCACAACTCTTTATAGATTATGGTAACTTCAGATTTCATTAAATTAGAAAACAAACTCCAGGAACTACTAAATTAATTAGAAAAATTCATCCTTATAATTGTGTTTCATGCCTGGTATCAAAATCTGTATGAGTTTGGGTTCTCTAGAGGAATGCGAAATGGTGCAAGGGGGTTTATTGGGTAGGTTTACAGGATCAGAGACAGAGGAGTCCACAGTGGCCACCTGTGCACTGGAGCGAACTGGAAGAGAGGCAAAAGCTCAGTAACTGCTCTGCTGTGCTTAAGGAGCTGGAAGTCACAGAGCAAGGGGCATCAAAGAAGCAACAGCAGTCCAAGATGGAGACTCTGGACGCACCTAGGAGAGTCACCGGTATGAGTCTGCAGTAGAGCCTGATGTACACAGTGACAGCAGCAGCAAAACACGTACCCACTCAAACTGAATGGAGTTTCCATGAAACAAAAACAAAATCAGACCTCAACTTTTTTGTTTTCTTTTTAT